TTTCTCTAGACCTGGCGCACGCGTTACTCCTACCTGCTGCGGGAATATCGGTGGAGACATTGGACGCCAAGGAGTAACGAGCGGATGGGAGTCACCATCATGCAAATAATCCGAGAGCATAGAAGCTATATGGAAGGAATCATTAGTAGGTATTGGACGAGGTTGAGCGCCCGGAACACAGGCGAATAAAGAGGTTAAAGCTTGAAGAGTTTCTTTGTCCAGGGTGGAACGAAAGCCGCTGTATCGACGACGTAGCTAGATTTAGCATAGTCAGTTTACAGCAACTTGACGCGCACAGCAGACCATCTCGCTCGCGAGGGGATATTTCCTTTTCTTCCAAGGATTCATCAGGAGCGAGCTTAAGATTGGTGTGTTCCAAATACTTCAAGTCAAATTGTTTTAGCGACTTATTCGGGGATGAGGCCCCTAGCCGAGGCGTCTGACGAATAGCTCGTGTGGTCAATATCGGGGTGATCGGTCTATATGGATTGTAAAAAGGTGCTTGCATGTGCAATCAGCACTTGATAGGGCTGTGTCGAAGAATATATGAATAACGTACTTTCGTCATCTGTATCCCAACACCGTCTTAAAGGCGGCTCCCTGACGTTGCTTCTTTCCAGTAGTACTTCTGTCAATAATTGGCGTGATGCGGAATTTGTTTCCCATAGCTGGTCATATGGTTGTTGTTGTTTCAGTTTAAGCTGTCTACAGAGTGTTTCAAAAGGCTCCTCGGGCAAAGCAAGAGATAAAGGATCGTCCGCAGGCACGCATCTAAGGCCTTCGGAAAGCAGCTAGACGCAGAACACGGGGTGTCATAACAACGCTTTCTCATGGAACTGTCGATTTTCTGAGATACGCATACCTCCGAAACCTCTGAACGCGTGTAAGTCACATAGTTGGTAGTAAGATGAGTGAGGGAATAGCGGAGTAGAAGCTTTCGTATGTGAGCCCTAAGAACAAGTTCGTCTTCAGAAGTTTCAATGTCCATGTTGAAGTGTTTACAGGTTGGGGTTGGTTGAAACACCGAGGAGCAATTACATAAAGCTATACCATTATGTCACATGGCTGGGTGAACACGTGACTGACTTGACTGGGGGACGCGTTGTCACACCGTTCACATCTTGTGACACTTTTTTTCCTCGCGTTTACACTCGCCCGTCTGGTTTACTGTTATGATTGTAAGTCTATTCTATGTACTGTTATTTTGTCTGCATCCTGGCGACCACTTTCCGCACCTGCCGGTGGCTTTTCCAAAACGTCCACATAGTACAATTATTATGCTCGAGAACAAAGGACCACAGCGAAATGCGGAGGGAATATGTGGAAATTCTATTCCACTTTCTTCCGTCAATTGTATAAATCGAACAAACATGTGAGTCCGTGATATTCAGCCCCATCATGTCTACGCCGCACCTGTCCACCTTGAAACAATCATGCGATCTCCGACAGATGCATACCTCCCTTACCGATACCTCATTTTCCCGAAAAACCCCTCAATCAGCTTGTGAAGATCTGGCCAACCATCTTCAAGAGTTTGACTTCTGTCGGTTTTTCGAGAAATTCCCCCTTGATTCTCCTATCTCCAAATTTGTCGAATCATTCTGCTTGTCTTCATTACGAAAGCTCATGGAACGGGCCTTCGCTTCGACATATAACCATCATCCTGACTCTTCTTCCGCGAGGTCTATTATGCGAGCCCGAAGGCAACTTGAAGAGGAGCTCCAAAACATCGACGCGGCGTTGAGGATCATGGAAGCGGCGCGACTAAATGTTCGAAGAGTCAGAGATTCTTTGGGTTGGATTAGAACCGTCAATCGGCGTTCACTTGAAGAATGCGAAGCTACCTTGCCATCTGTTCACGGTCAGACGGAGCATGTTTATGGTCGTCAACTTCTTCCACCTTCAGGGCCTCCGAACTCACCACAACGCGACGAGTCCCAAAGTTTTCGATCGCCGGGCCACCACCGCTCAGGTTCTCTTCCATACTGGGAACGCCACCCTAGCTCTCCTAGCTCGCAGAGCACGAGCGGTCACCGCTCTCGCTATTCAATCTCGGTTACCCCAAGTTCTCACAAGGCCAAGTCGAATTTCCATGCGGATAGAGCCATGCAAATTAATCAGAACAACATGTCAAGGCATTAGGAAGGGCGGGCCGCGAATTGACCAATGATATCCCCCGGGGGATTATGGTATAACTTTACGTAGAAATTATGTATCTCTTCGAGTGCTTGCGTTCGTCTCTTATACTTGTTGAAAGCACCTATACGCTCGTGTTTCACGGAAAGAGAGTGATGAATTAGTAATTACATAAGAAGCGGTGATGATTGATCCAAATATTACGTAATCACGCTCAAAGCAACCGCTCTCCACGCATGCCCCCAAAGCTAAGACCAACCCCTGCATATTCGACAAATGTCGAGATATACGCAGAAGTTGACTCTGCAGGACTGACTCCAAGAACCCCACACTCACGCCAAGTGGACGCAGAGGAAGGGCGGTCACGACGAGTGCGTCCAGCACTTCCAGTGAATGAGTCGATTTCAGAGGACGAGGACGATGGCAATCTCGACGAAATAGATCTACTCCAGACGCAGAGTCACCCATTGCTACACAGCTCCACCTCGGATTCGTTTCCTCTTGTTGCTCGACACGGCAATGATTGGTCGCGCCCCCGATGGAGTGCCAATGACAAGAAGGACAACTGGATCTGGCGGCTGGTGAAAGAGCGCGTTGTAAAGGATCGACTCCCTCTTGGTTTGATTGTTGGAACTGCAGCGGCTATCCTGCTGCTTTTCCTAGTGGTCATGTCGATCAAGAGACAGGATACGTTACTCGACTACATTGGGGTAAATACCACGGCCATTGCGTACGAGTCATTAGATGAGGAGAGCAAGAAGCGCTTCAACAGCTCAACCGTCATTGACTATGCGGCCGCGGGCTATACTTCATACCCTTTAACGACAGACCAATATATCCACGAGTGTTGGAAAGTGGTTCATGATCCACGCATGCAATATTTTGTGCCGTACTGGTCCACTAGACCTGGCGCAGAACTAGACGTTCTTCACCAGGTATCTCTCGATTCTGATGTGTGGCTTGTATTTCGCTTACGACAGCAATTCCAGCGACCAAGCTCTTCACCGAAAACATGCAATTCTACTATCACATACCTTTTGGATGGTGCAGTCGGCCTCATGGGAGATCTGGCTCATCTGGCGCTGGTCGCCTCATTCGCACGTGAGGTAGGTATGTGTTGGTCGGGTTTAAGTACCTTGCTTCATGCCTCACGTTCGTACGCCCATAGCAAAACCGCACACTCTTTGTCTACGATGAGTATTGGAACAGGGGACTATGGACCGACCATTTTTTGCCTTTTTCTGAAACTCAACCTGGCCCTGAACCTGGATGTGCCCCGCCCCCACTTCAGGGCATGTTATTATTTCGAGTTATGCCAGTAGATTTTCTGATTTGACAATAGAATTGGTCGCGTGTCCACGGTCAGCACGGTGAGCTCTTGCTTTTCATAGAGTCATCTTATATATATCTTTCTTACTTGTCATTGCGTAGACATTGGGTAGGTGTGAGTACTCTGTTCGTAAGATATTCCATTGATTCTATGTTTAGATCACATCGGCTCGCCTTAATTATTTCCATACGGGTGATGACTTCAAGGATATGTACGAAGACTCGTGAGTTTGTTTATTTTAAGCCGGCATTAATACAGATTTTTTTTACTAGATACAAGTATACCATCGAACGGCTGAAACCTATCTTTGTTCGCTCTGCTGAATCTTTTTCGGGATCTATATGGCCTAGTGTTGCGAACCAGAAGCTCATTTTCCGAGCGAGGAGTGAGTTTGCTCAACTTGTTGAGACGGACTTGAGTATGTACTCTTCGCGTTCATTTCCATGGCCCACCACAAGCTGAAGGTACATTCGACAGATGTTATGGGCCGAGAATATCTTTCGGCGCATATCCGACGAGGAGATCTCCAGGCTATGTCATGGCGATATCAAAAACTGCTCAAGGTTCAAGTTCCCACGTCAGAGTTTGTTGACGCTGTATGGCAAACACACAGCCGACTTTCGAATGTTTCGAACCCAGACGCATTGTCATCTTTCCCTCCAGTAGCCTATGTTGCCTCGGATTCACCATCGGCTGCATCAGAATTCACAGATCTTTTTCTTTCCTATAACGACAGTTTTGCGCAAAAGTACGGTCACAAGGGCCTCAAACCCATTGTATATCAGCTACGTACAAGCACGGACGCAGAGCTCCAAAGCCTTGCCTCTGAACGTGAATATGTACAGGCAGATTGGCCCAATGGCACAGAAGAAAGCAGGGTTAGGGAGACGAGGGGGGTAATTGTTGATTGGGCATTACTCTCAGGGGCCTGGATTCCCCGGGAGAGTGATGAAATAGCCAGCTGGGAGAACAATGTGCACATTAAACCCGCCGCAGCGATTTGTACACTTCCGTACGTTCTTTACGTCTTTATTTATTTATTCATTTTTACTCACGGAAAATATTCACAGGTCTAACCTGTGCAAGCTTGCCGCAGTTGGGCTAGGGTGGGATCGTGCTTTCAACCTGGGTGATTTCGAGCCGGGACCAGACCGAAGGTGGATCGAGATCGATAACCACGGAGGTATTGTGCCTATATGGAGGGCATTCCAAAAATTCTCCTAATTCTATGCTATCTATCATACTATGGGAGTTAAAATCTATATATATACGTTGTTGTTTCCCGGTGAAGGATTTGCCCCAGTGTCTCAAGACTTAAACTTGAAGGTGCTGTTTAAGTCTCTTCGATGACAACTCACGCCTTCGACACGAAAGCTCAGGGTGACTTTGTTGTAGCTGCATCTTTGAAAGAAACGTAGTTTAAAGTATTTGTGCTGTCTGACCTGAATATAAGAACGTGCAAGCTTCCACGTATTTCACAGGTTCGAGGATGGAGCAAGGATACAATATACCCAATGACTGGATTGAAGATATTGCCTCGCTAGCTCAATCGGTAGAGCGTGAGACTCTTATATGCGAGTTTTGAGAATTTCCAGGATATCTCAAGGTTGCGGGTTCGACCCCCGCGTGGGGCTAGAGTAATTTTGTGGAATTTTCTTTTATGCTGAAAATGCAATGCCTCCTTTGGATTAGTATGGTATTCTCTTTATGAGATTCTGCAAACTTCTGGCAGGTTGTGTTGATGCCTGCTTGGATTCTTATGCTAATCCATCCATCTATTACATGGTTGCATTGCAAGTATTTGCGCAGGTACATGTCAGGCAATACAAGCAACCAGATATGAAGAGTATTGAGCCAGCCTTAATCAAAGAGGAGGCAACATTGGACAGAGAAGTCAGCCTGGAGGTTAAGGCATCCTAGACCCAGTTGCTTGACATCACAAACATTCTCATATTGCAGTTACAGTTCACATGGATGTATGATAGTATTAGATTACTATTGCCAACCTGGAATTCATAACCAATACATGATCCACACCATGTGAGATTAGGTAGGGCTTCTGTATCTGAAAAAGTGATTTCCTGGGAAACAGGCCATGGCCAATTGATAGGATCAGTGCAAGTGCTATTCACCATTATGTCATGAGTGCCAAAAAAGATACAAGTATTACCTTATAATGGCATGACTGGTACAGCTACTGGCTAGCAAGTTTCTTTTGGTTTTCTTCTAACTAGTACCTTCAAGTCTCTAGGTTTTTTCATAGGGCTAGCTCTTATCCTTGCAGATCATGAGCAATGAAGTGCAAGTGTTTTAGGGCCTGTTCGGATATGAAAAGTTACCTTTACTTAGCTTAATAATCATCCTCTCAGCGGACTCTCCTGGCTGTCAGCTGGAGTTCGAACCAGACTACCTATGGGCAACAACAATGATGACCTTGCAATGGAGCTGGATCCTGCCTTGTCTCCAGCAAGGTTGACTTGGAGTACTCCTCTGACTCCTTTGACACCTATGACTTCCCCAACACCTCCCACACCCAGCACACCAACATCTCACACACCTGGTGTAAGAGTTTTACACTTAGATTGTGGTTATCACATGAGCTTGTAGAACCATTCCAAACAGTTCTATTTCAAGCGGTGTGTGATGGTTACAATGTAAGTGGTTCTGAACCTAAGGTTCTTCCCATGCTACAACTATTACAGTTGTGGACACTCATGTACACAACTTGTAGCATAGACATAGCCTATGCCTGTACAGTATTCTATATGTTATGAAAAAGAGAAGTAGAAGTCATTGGAGTTCAGAGGATTAGAACTCCAAGTTTGCTTGAAAGGTTCATTCAAATGTTTTGTTCGTATGTTCGCACAATTGACTGCAATACACAGGATGTGAATTCGATACTAGATGAAATACAAGATTGTGGTCCTTATATATCTGAGAATATAGGAGACAGAAGATTCTAATATTGAAGCAAAACATTTTAGTGAAACAAGGCTAAAGAACGTGGAACGTACAATCATCGACAAAGGTTGTACTTATGGAGTCCGTTCAGAATCGGGGGGATATTCTGAGTAATGAAAATGAAAGTGAAACGAAACAGTCTATGTATCATATCAGTGGCTGTCTAGGTCCAGAGTATCTTGTAGGGTCACCTCTCTTGTGGGGTTGTCTCGAGTATTGGCCAAGATACCTAAGTCTGCTTGTTAACACTATATACTTATGTATACTAATATTAATGCTATATATCTATTAAGGGAATTATAATTCCCTTACATCCTCCCCCTCAGGCCGAAGCCACGGGGAGGCCAACAATGTGTTATACATCGTAATAAACAGATATTTTATCTGTTACCGGCAGTAGGGGATGGGGGACCCATTTCCACATCAGGAGGATTCCCATCCTCATATATCTCGGAGGTGTCAACCCTGATATCTTCATTCCCGGTCAAGCTAGTACCTGTACTAGTGGCAGTAAAGCTACTCCCAATGGATGGAGCAGCTGTGGTGCCTTTAGGCACCGCGTCGGTGACTATATTGCTATAGTCAATACGCATGTGTAGTGGTGTGGAGGTGTTACCCTTGACAGCTTTACCTTTCCCTTTCGGGTCAGGTACCGTGGCAAGGCTAAATGCCTTGCGTTCTGCAGCATGCTGTTGTGCTGACTGCGCTGCTTTGCTATAGCGCAATTTTGAGCTCACCCTCTCGTAGTGGGGTTCGAGTAAGTCCGTGGCATGGATGGGGTCGACTCCCCCATGACGACCCAGCCACAACGCGATGTCTTTTTTGCTAGTGGATTGGGTGTCACCCCTCCAGCCAAACTTATTTGGCACAGAGGATCTGAGATCCCCATTTCCTTGTGACATGTGCCACTGAGCTCCTACGAGGCTCTCCCATTTTCCCTTCTGGGAAAATATTGACTCTAGCATTGTCTGGAAGACAAGGCTGTCAGTCTGGGGGGTAATCTTATTTACCCATACCCAGACATCAACATCACTCAGGTTTAGCGATGCATTGGATTTTTCCCTGATTGCTGCAGGGAGTCCTTCTGGAAATCCAAATCTAGAGCATTAATGCTGACTTCAAGTCAGCAGGAGTATCGGGGTGGACTGCAAAGCATTCCACCCGGGTGCTTTCTTTGTGGCTCTTTTTGATGCAAGCCACAGCCCTATTCTGAGCAGGAGTACACTCAGGATATGGGATTAAAAATCCCATTTTGTATTTGTTCAATAGCAAAGGGCTATCAATGGCGCAGGTGTCATACCATGTGCTCCTAGTGCACGTGCAAGGTGTGGGCACCTTGCCGAGTGGATGGGGAATCATTCCTGTCTGTGAATATGGTAGATTGCCTACGGCAGGGGCAAACTCAGTTTGTAGCTTGCACTTTTTAAGTGCATGCTTGGATGGCTCCTTCAAAGGAGTCATGTGGGCGATGTTACCGTCATTGTCTGTGGACGCGTCGTCCCAGGGTTTGACTGGGGGTACTTTGTAAAGTACCGGTGCACCTGTAGTCAGGTCAAAGGTGTATGCATGACCTGATGGGGGCAGGGGCATCCCTGGCTTGTTGATGGGCCAGGTCAGGATGTCTGTCCCCGCTATGAGGTGCGCCCGTGAGAGTGATGCGGGGCGTGGTGATTGAGACGGCTCACCGCCTGTATGTCTACAGCCAGTTGGGATGAGGTAGACAGCTGCGCCACTGTCTGAGGAAGGGTTTGAGGACCCTTCTTGTGCAGCTCAGTTAGCTGCACAGCTTGTTCATTGAGTTGCACCTGCATCTTGTCTAAATGTGATTTGCGATTGTGTATCTTTTCCTGGGCTGCGTCTAGTTTGCGGCGCATGTCATTATACTGTTTTTCATGGTACACAAACTTTTCCTTCAGCTCATGAATTTCATCAGTAAAACGATGTGATAGATCCGGGTAGGCCTTATATACAGCCTCCTGCACTTCATCTTTATTGAAGTTCATTTTGCCAGCCTGCATGGCAGCAGGGACATGTGTGACGTGAGCTTCGCATGGCCCACAGTTGCGTTTATGTGACAGTATAACAGTGTGAGGCAGACTGTGGATCTGCCACTCGGTTTCGATACTCAGCAAGTAATCGGGCCATGCCTGATAGTGGTGCAGTAGCCTGCTTTGCAGCAGGCTCGTTGTGTGTGTCGCTCATGTGAGTGTCAGGGTTCATCCCACTCATGTCCCACTGTGGTAGTGGGACAGTTGAAGAAAAGAAGTGCCCACGGTGTTATCCTTTTTTTGCCGCAGGCGGGACTCGAATTGAGTCACATGACCAGATGCGCTAGACATGTCTGGGTAGCTCGCAAGGTCGTTTCACACCTTGCAGCTCTAGATACTCATCTAGAGCTTCTAGCTCCTTGCATTCAGCAAGGGGCTCCTATGTCACGTCTCCCAGAGTCCAATGAACTTGGAACTCTAGTTCTTTATTATTCGTCCATCTATGGGCAAGTATTTCATTGACGAACCAGTCTTGTTCGTCGGTTTGTCCAAAGTCATAGAATGACTTTGTGTCTCGCTTGGGAAACAACTCATCATTGTTTGCTGTATACGGCCATATTAATGCCATATGAAACGTAGGGGTAATCCTATGTGCACTGAGCTTGGGTGGTACCTCGAGCTTTATGTTAGACATTTCGTTATGTATGTCTAGTACTTTGTATGGCCCAATAAACTTGGGCATAAGCTTCCTTGCCCTCCCTTTGGGCAAGGATAAGTTCTTAGTTGACAAGTAAACCAAGTCTCCAGGTGCATATATGCTGCCTGTTCTTTGCTTTTGGTTAGCGTAGTGTGTCTGTGACACACAGCTTTCAATGATAGCGTCATGCACTTCCATTAGGTTCCACAGTGCTTGCTGTGCAAATTGTTTAACACCTCTATAAGTGATGTTAACTTCTAGTGTCTGTCCAATTCTGGGCAGATATCCACTGTTCAGTTTGAACAGTGCAAATCCTGTGGATGCATTGACGCTGCTGTTCAATGTGAATTCGACCATTGGGCATTTTTCTGCCCAATCCTTTTGGTCATTGCAAACTACTGTTTGCAATATTTGACCTATAGAACGATTTGCTCGTTCTGTTGCTCCATCTGTTTCCAGGTGGAATGATGTAGAAATGAGGAGTTTAGTCCCCATTAATCTTTGTAGTTCCTTCCAAAATATGGAAGTGAACTTTGAGTCTTGATCTGATACGATTGATTCTGCTGTTCCTGTGAAATCGTACAAATTCTCATAGATATAAGCACACGACCTGCCACGCAGTGACTTTAACTGTCGTAGGTATCAAATGTACCTGCGACGTGAGTCTTTTGATTATTATGAGCAGATAGTTGAATTCTTTTGACTTCAGGAGTGGGCCCATAAAGTCCATTCCTATAGATGGCCAGGGCCTTTCAGGCACTGGTAATATGTGCAGCAGCCCAGAGGGCTGCTGGTTACTGACTTTGTTCTGTTGACAAGGTCCACATGTTTCGCAGAAGGATTGTATATCCTTTGTCATTGTTGGCCACCAATAATAACAGCCAACATAATTAGCTGTTTTAAATTGGCTAAAATGGCCAACGGCTTGGTGAGTGTGGTCTATTATGACCTTGACTAGTCTCCTCCCCCTCAGGAAGGCTTCATGGGG